CATTTTCTGACGAGTGTAACATATTCACCTCTTTCACTCCTTACACCAATTTTCACGTTTTTAAACTTCCGCTTCTTATATTTATTCTTCCTTTACCTTGTTAATGAAACTTGTTAATTCCGTTTAAACTTAATGTTCTGCCACTTCTGCGTGACAAAGTAATATGACAGGCAATTTAGAAACCAGATTGCAACTAAGATGCATGCAGGTGAAAACAATACAGGTTCTTTAGACATATGATTGTTAATAGGATTGGTCGATAATACATGATATTTAGGGATTAGATTGTTGAATAAGTTTGGCAATAATATACAGACAATTTAGAGATCATATTGTTAATATGTTTGGTAACGAAGTACAAATAATTAGAGATTGGAAATAAGATTGATAGATAATACAATGAATTTAAGAGATCTTATTATAAATAAGATTGGTAGGTAATACATGTAATTAAGTCCCCCATATTAAGTCCCCCAAACATGGTTTGGGGACTTATTGTTTTTATTCCTCCGTGTTCTTCTTCTTCTTCTTCTTCTTCGAAGCCATGTACTTGTCCAGAGGTTTTCTAAGAAACTATTGAGCGGATCATCATGAAACTTCACACACATAATCATTAGGGGGTCAAGGTGTGCAACAGGTTATTTTTATCTCGACCGGATGTCCAAGATGGCCGCCAGGACCTTACTTCCGGTTTTGGAGTTTTTGGCTGTGATTTCGTTGAAAATTGGTACATAGGGGTTTTCAGGGCTGCCGAAAACAATGGAAACAGTTTCGAACAGCTCAGTTGTCATGGTAACGAAATGGAGGCCTCTGATTGGTCGAAAATGGAGGCCTCTGACTGGTCGAAATTTCGCTATTTTCTGATTCTGTCCAAAATTGGTACATGGGTTTCTTCAGGGTTTCCGAACACAATGGTAACAGTTTTGAAAAGTTCAGTTGCCATCGTAACGAAATGGAGGCCTCTGATTGGTCGAAATTTAGTTGTTTTCTGATTCTGCCCAAAATTGGTACATAGGGTTTTCAGGAATTGCGAACATTAATGGTAATAGTTTCGAAAAGAACAGTTGCAATGGTAACGAAATGGAGGCCTCTGATTGGTCGAAATTTAGTTGTTTTCTGATTCTGCCCAAAATCGGTACAAAGGGGTTTTCAGGGATTCCGAACACAATGGTAGTAGTTTCGAATAGTTCAGTTGCCATGGTCACGAAATGGAGGCCTCTGATTGGTCGAAATTTAGTTATTTTCTGATTCTGCCCAAAATTGGTACATAGGGGTTTTCAGGAATTCCGAACACAATGGTAACAGTTTCGAAAAGTTCAGTTGCAATGGTAACGAAATGGAGGCCTCTGATTGGTCGAAATTTAGATGTTGTCTGATTCTGCCTAGAATCGGTACATAAGGGTTTTAAGGGATGTGAAACACGATTGTAACAGTTACGAAAGATTTAGTTGCCATCGTAACGAAATGGAGGCCTCTGATTGGTCGAAATTTAAATGTTGTCTGATTCTGCCTAGAATTGGTACATAGGGGTTTTAAGGGATGCAAAAAAAAATGGTAACAGTTTCGAACAGCTCAGTTGCCATGGTAACAAAATGGAGTCCTCTGATTGGTCGATATTTAGTTGTTTTCTGATTCTGCCCAAAATTGGTACATAGGGGCTTTCAGGAATTCCGAACACAATGGTAACAGTTTCGAAAAGTTCAGTTGCAATGGTAACGAAATGGAGGCCTCTGATTGGTCGAAATTTAGATGTTGTCTGATTCTGCCTAGAATCGGCACATAAGGGTTTTGAGGGATGCGAAATACGATTGTAACAGTTACGAAAGATTTAGTTGCCATCGTAACGATATCGAGGCCTCTGATTGGTCGAAATTTAAATGTTGTCTGATTCTGACCAGAGTTGGTACATAGGGGTTTTAAGGGATGCCAAACACAATGGTAACAGTTTCGAACAGCTCAGTTGCCATGGTAACAAAATGGAGTCCTCTGATTGGTCGAAATTTAGCTGTTGTCTGAGTTTGCCTATGTTCCTAAGTCCAACAGGGGTCGTTTGGGGGACTAATCTGTAACGGCCATTCGTTACAATTATTACTAGTTAGAAGCTGTAATTGTTACCGAGAGTGGTAAAAAAATACATGTAATAAGGAGATATATGTTTATACTAATTTCTCTCTCTCGAACGACAAACGCCAACACCATGAACAATTGTTGTAGACCTAATTTATTTTTATGATATTTGATTAACTGTACATGTTTAAGTTGCTTTTTTTTAATGTAGACCTGTTTTTTTTCCGCACGATAAAAAAAAATGTAAAGAAAACATAGTTTCGCTGGTTAATTGACAACCATTTAGGATGGCATTTTTAATTATATAAAAGTGAGATCGATTCATAATATTAAACTGTGCATTTGATATATATCAGTTTTAAATACATTGTTTTACGGAACTGGAATGTCAGATATTTATCACAACACCAGAAATAAGAGGGCACCTCTTTATATTATATATTGATACAAAGAACAGCAATCTAAATAAATGAATAAATACCTGACGACTTCGTCTCTAAATACATTTAATATGAATATAAAACCTTTTTATGATTCAATAAGAAAATCCATTAGAGCACCCTAATCTATGTTTGAATGTAAAAGACATTTATTTACACACTTGGGATGTGAGACATAGTTGGCCTACAACATACTTTAGCATACATTAGCATACATCATTAGTATATGCAATTCTTACGCGAGTGTGTGTGTGTGTGGGGGGNGAGGAATCAACATGTATGTCGGGCTGACTGCTTTCTAGGATCCTCTCCAAACGGTCTATGAGTTTGGCTGTATACTAACCAACGTAAAACATGGAACTGGAGTTGTAGGTGTGTACCTTTATGATGTTTAAAAAATGAACGTCAATAAAAGTGCATTAACATGGGAAGTTTGCGTGGGGGGTCTGGACACGAACCTAGCCGACATGATATAAGGGTGATAAGATATATCATTAACAGGATGAAATGTGGTGTGGACAGGTGGCAACACGCTTTGTGGTAAACGATTTTAACACTCCCAATAGCAAAAGACAGAAATAGATGACTTATTCACATGTCATTAAGAAAATCGACATTGGAGCATTCTAGATATAGATATGTTAGCATATTTAAGTTTATCTTATGAGTCGATACTTAATTCCATACAAACATTTTACTCTGAGAGCTGTCCCTGTTCTGTTTTAATCCTCTGTCAGATACAAAAATAAACAAAACGTAATAACTGTAAATAGAGGTACCAAAAACGAACTTATTAATAGTAAATATTCTAACAATATTACTTACATTATAAAAAATCCAGCCTCCACAGTAAATGTAATCAAACACAGTGTGGCTTCAATCAGATTTATCTGTTTGGGGAAAAAAACATAGTTTATATTGATACAATGATACACACACTAAACAATAATCTGCCGAGTAAATACTTCTACAATACTACCGACAATACAACAACATTGGTCACCATATAAGTATTCAAAGTTCACTTGGCACTACAGACAAAATGCTTTCTTACCTCGACATGGCTATTGATACCATGTTACCGACACTGCACCAATGGTAATATATAGATTAATTATAATATAATAAAACCGGCAATACCTAGACACTGGGAATGGTAATTTGATAAGTATCTTTATAGTAACGGTAATTTGTGTCACATCTTCTGTGAAAGGTAATCTGTTATATTTTTTTAAGGAATATGAATGTGTATTTTATCTTTACTGAATGTGTATTGGTAAGATATTTATAAACCAGGGCAAAATAAGAATAAAGTCAGATTTACAAGGAGACAATTTAAAAAATTCAAGAACATAACCAGACCAGGTTTTCCAGAAGGATAAATGTCTTCTTTATCGATGTTATCCGCCCAGTAAATACAGGTCGACTTTAAGTATTGTTACTTTATCAAACAGAGACCTGTTGTTGTTCACACGAAACAATGCACACCTATGAGGTTATGACCATATCGCACAAAGAAAAGAATATTTCCCAGTGAGATCATGCTGGCGACTAAACACCTTGTTGATAGTTTGCATTTGTTCTGTCAGCATTCGACAAATATTCCGAAAAGCGTCATGTGGGGAGCAAGCTTGTGAATATCGAATCAATTGCGACATGTTAACATCCCGTGTAACGAGAAAGGAATGGTAATGTAAAGGGGTGGTAATGTAAAGGGGTGATAATGTAAAGGGGTGGTAATGTCAAGGGATGGTAATGTTAAGGGATGATAATGTAAAGGGATGATAATGTGTAGGGATGGTAATGTGTAGGGATGGTAATGTAAAGGGATGATAATGTAAAGGGATGGTAACGTAAAGGGATGATAATGTGTAGGGATGATAATGTGTAGGGATGGTAATGTAAAGGGATGGTAATGTAAAGGGATGGTAATGCAGAGAGATGATAATGTAAAGGGGTTGTGATGTAAAGGGATGGTAATGCAGAGAGATGATAATGTAAAGGGGTTATAATGTAAAGGGGTGGTAATGTAAAGGAATGGTAATGTAAAGGGGTGGTCATGTAAAGGGGTTGTAATGTAAGGGAAGGGAAAGTTCCCGATCAGACAGTCTACGTCATCCTGCTTATCAAACAGCTTCGACATCATTAGTGTTCAATTTGTCTGAAAATGATATCGAAAGCCTAAGCCATGTTTTCGTTTCCTGTTCTAAAAAGCACTTCATAACAATAGCCTCATATAAACAAAACTTAATAAGGGTAACTTAAAACACATTGTTATAAATGATAAGATGTACTACACGTGTGTCTATAAGGACTCGCGTTCTGTTACCTTCCTGATGATGCACGTAAAACACAGACATTAAATGACTGACTTGTTATTGCTCCGTTAATTACGAAACAACATTGGAAATACAGATATAGGCACTGTTTGGCCCCTTGTGTATGTGTGTGTACTACACGTGTGTCTACTACACGTGTGTCCTGGCCCGAGATAACCGTTGACCCGGACGTAGCCCCTTAAGTATATAAAGTACACGTACTATCAACGTACAGTACATGTGCTGCTGCCCACTGATTGCCATAGACTGTGTGCAGGTAACCTGTCTGTGTTTCTTGTACATCTTTTATTATAACACAAATGCTATCGTTTGTTCCTAGTTTATATATCATGTTTTTTTGTTTTTTTTGGGGGTTTTTTAAATGCATATGATTTAAACTTAAGCTTCTGTTAAATCTTGGGCATGTATCTAAACATTGCGCTTGTGACAAATCAGGAATATAGTCGGGAAACTTAGGACTGACTTGAACACGATCATTACGAAGTAGACTGTGCTGAACATTCTGTCTTTGTGTACGTGGTCTGAGTATTGACATAATTATATTCGGTACCTTATCAGCTGTCATTGTCTCGGCTGATGTAATGTACCGCTTAAAGCGTGAAACATTTCATTTTCTAATACAGGTGCAGGGTTTCATATTAAACACTTGATTTATTTGAAAGCATCGCACTATACAATTAAGCTGACAAATTTCAAATCCGGTTATCGAAAATCAAGAAGAGAATTGTTTATTTATTATTAACGTAAACTTGAAAATATTAGCACTTGACGGCTACTCTGTTCTATTTTAGTTCGTTATCACGATGAAGAAAGAAGGGGTTATCGCCCTTCTCCTATTCATGATTATGGCGCATGACGGTACGAGCTTATTTCTTCACCGAGGGGACATGAAATTACATGACGAATGGGCCATCAGGCCAACAGCGTCAACCTATCAGATTGGAGAGATAGATATAGAGGCCATAATCAACGCTGAACTAACTGGTGAGTCATTTGACGCCAGGTCAGATGTAAATAGTAAGGCAATCTTGGTAAGTGTTGTAATGTCAATTAAATGATCCAAGACATTTCAAGTACCTCTGAACTATAACAATATATACTCATTACATGTATGGTCACTAGACGTCATGTAAGGTAACAAGACGTCACCGGATGCTTTACCGTTGTAAACATATAAGGTTACTAAACGTTACCGGATACTTTACCGTTGTATACATGTAAGGTTACTAGACGTTACCGGATACTTTACCGTTGTATACATGTAAGGTTACTAGACGTCACTTGATACTTTATCGTTGTATACATGTAAGGTTAGTAGAAGTCACTGGATACCTTACCGTTGTATACATGTAAGGTTACTAGGTTACTAGACGTTACCGGATACTTTACCGTTTTATACATGTAAGGTTACTAGACGTTACCGGATACTTTACCGTTGTATACATGTACGGTTACTAGACGGTACCGGATACTTCACCGTTGTATACATGTAAGTTTACTAAAAGTTAGCGGATACTTTACCGTTGTATACATATAAGGTTAATAGACGTCACTGGATACTTTACCGTTGTATACATGTAAGGTTACTAGACGTTACTGGATACTTCACCGTTGTATACATGTAAGGTTACTAAAAGTTAGCGGATACTTTACCGTTGTATACATATAAGGTTACGAGACGTCACTGGATACTTTACCGTTGTATACACGTAAGGTTACTAGACGTTACTGGATACTTTACCGTTGTATACATGTAAGGTTACTAGACGTTACCGAAACTTTACCGTTGTATACATGTAAGGTTACTAGACGTTACCGGAAACTTTACCGTTGTATACATGTAAGGTTGCTAGACGTTACTGGATACTTTACCGTTGTATACATGTAAGGTCACTAGACCTCACTGGATACTTTACCGTTGTATACATGTACGGTTACTAGACGGTACCGGATACTTCACCGTTGTATACATGTAAGGTTACTAAAAGTTAGCGGATACTTTACCGTTGTATACATATAAGGTTACGAGACGTCACTGGATACTTTACCGTTGTATACATATATGGTTACTAGACGTCACTGGATACTTTACCGTTGTATACATATATGGTTACTAGACGTCACTGGATACTTTACCGTTGTATACATGCAAGGTTACAAGACGTCACTGGATACTTTACTGTTGTATACATGTAAGGTTACTAGACGTTACTGGATACTTCACCGTTGTATACATGTAAGGTTACTAAAAGTTAGCGGATACTTTACCGTTGTATACATGTAAGGTTAGTAGACGGTACCGGATACTTTACCGTTGTATACATGCAAGGTTACAAGACGTCACTGGATACTTTACTGTTGTATACATGTAAGGTTACTAGACGTTACTGGCTACTTCACCGTTGTATACATGTAAGGTTACTAAAAGTTAGCGGATACTTTACCGTTGTATACATATAAGGTTACTAGACGTCACTAGATCCTTTACCGTTGTATACATGTAAGGTTACTAGACGTTACCGGAAACTTTACCGTTGTATACATGTAAGGTTACAAGATGTCACCGGATACTTTACCGTTGTATACATGTACCCACAATGGTCACATTAACTGGCAATATTGGTGAGGTTTTATTATTGTCGTTTTGTAACATCTTGTGTTACCTAGGTCACTAGACCTCACTGGATACTTTACCGTTATATACATGTAAGGTTACTAGACGTCACTGGATACTTTACAAGGTTACTAGACGTTACCGAAACTTTACCGTTGTATACATGTAAGGTTACTAGACGTCACTGGATATTTTACCGTTGTATACATGTACGGTTACTAGACGGTACCGGATACTTTCCCGTTGTATACATGTAAGGTTACTAGACGTTACTGGCTACTTCACCGTTGTATACATGTAAGGTTACTAAAAGTTAGCGGATACTTTACCGTTGTATACATGTAAGGTTAGTAGACGGTACCGGATACTTTACCGTTGTATACATGCAAGGTTACAAGACGTCACTGGATACTTTACTGTTGTATACATGTAAGGTTACTAGACGTTACCGGAAACTTTACCGTTGTATACATGTAAGGTTGCTAGACGTTACTGGATACTTTACCGTTGTATACATGTAAGGGTACTAGAAGTTACTGGATACTTTACCGTTGTATACATGTAAGGGTACTAGACGTCACTGGATACTTTACCGTTGTATACATATATGGTTACTAGACGTCACTGGATACTTTACCGTTGTATACATATAAGGTTACTAGACGGCACTGGATACTTTACCGTTGTATACATGGAAGGTTACTAGACGTTACTGGATACTTCACCGTTGTATACATGTAAGGTTACTAGACGTCACTGGCTACTTTACCGTTGTATACATGTAAGGTTACTAGGCGTTACCGGAAACTTTACCGTTGTATACATGTAAGGTTACTAGGCGTTACCGGAAACTTTACCGTTGTATACATGTAAGGTTGCTAGACGTTACTGGATACTTTACCGTTGTATACATGTAAGGTTACAAGACCTCACTGGATACTTTACCGTTGTATACATGTAAGTTTACTAGACGTCACTGGATACTTTACCGTTGTATACATGTAAGGTTACTAGATGTCACCGGATACTTTACCGTTGTATACATGTACCCACAATGGTCACATTAACTGGCAATATTGGTGAGGTTTTATTATTGTCGTTTTGTAACATCTTGTGTTACCTGTTAATCACAAATACGTGACCATAAATGAAATACATTTAACAGTGTTAGTTTTACTATAAGTGTCACTTCATGAGCGAAAGGGCGACGACGTAATGTATAACTAGGTGTATACTAGTTTTTTTTAATTTTTAGCAAAATGCATACTTTCACAATGTTTAACACTAGGGAGCATTCTATCTGTATGATAAAGGAGAAATAGATCTAATTCTATACTTTCTATGAGTTAACTGTGTCCTGTAACATTCACAACCGGTGGAGACGCGTTAAGGATCATAAAAATGTCATTGCCCCTGTTAACATGTTTCCCACTACTCTTTTGATCCTCTTGGCACAACATGCTGCTTACTCACACTCGGATGGTTTGATCGTGTTTAAAATTCCAAGATTTATGGAATATCAGAATATTGAATGAAATTCACCATTGACAGCTAACGACCAATTGTAGCTATATAGGGATCTCAGTCCATAGAGCCTGGCAACAGCTAGCAGTATTTGTGAAATGCACATCTTTCTTTATATCCTTACCGTATGTTTTATTAAAAACTTCCTTGTAGTTCAGGTGGCCCATAACTCAATAACGTAACGCGCATGTTAGAATTACGGTAAGTATCAGCAAATCATTCATTTCATTTTAATACTATTTTTTATTTTTAAATCTGCGTCTTGTGCACTCCAGACGATGTAATATATGTAATTATATAAATCTATGATAATGATAGAAAATAAGTAGTATATGCCGTTTAATTATGTTCTTATTTCAGTTTTTACATTTCAAAACATCTGTATTAGTCGATGAACAAAAAGCGATATTCATTTATTTTAAATCAACATGATTCTTCCTATTCACAAAAACCTTTTTTGTCTCTAGTAATAGCAGTATGCTGTAGTGTAATTCATTTTTGGCATAATATGTATTTTACCAAATTTGAAAACTGCAGTTACATGTGTGTCTTAATTTGTAATTAACAAGTACTCCTCTTAATTTTGAAATTTTCGTAGTTTTGACATTCATATAATCCAGAGATTTTACTCACTTCACAATGTTTTTCTACGGTAGTTAAGACCAGTTTGGATTTCCAATATATTTGGTCCCTAGCCATCACCGAGGAGACATAGAAGGGCGAACCAGCTGTATAATGCAGTGTATTTCATTTCCTTTTGTCATTCTGTACATATATACTCACCATTTCAATAGTGGTTAAGACTATCTTTATTTCCAAAATTTTGATCCGTAGCATCATCGATGATGTAATTTTTGTCATACTGCATTATTTAACACTAATTTTATAGATACAATTATGTGTGTTTCTAACGTTTATCTTACTCGCCATCAATGAAATGACACTGCCTTCGACATCCAGCAAAATGTTGTTGAATTGCTATTTTGTCTTAAGTGAGTAATACGGGGTTATTTGAATTGCTATTTTGTCTTAAGTGAGTAATACGGGGTTATTTGAATTGCTGATTTGTCATTCGGTGATACATGTATACCTAGTACTAATCATCACACAGTGAAAAGTATTTGTATCCATTTGAAGGTCCCATTAACAGCGGGTTCACTGACGTCCTTGGTCACCTTTACGGCAAACGACTAGAGGTAGGTAGTTTTTAGCTCACTGCATGATTGGTTTAATACCATATCTCTATGCATTGCTTTTCAATTCTTTATTTATGAGCATAATTGAAACTCAAATCGTCTTTCTTTTTTTTTTTTTAATTTGAAACACGTTTTATTGCTTTTTATTTTTACAGCAATAGGATCGGGCACGAGTTTTTACAGCATTAGTAAAGCCCTCTCCTCAACAGCTATTACACACACACAAAAAGCGACAATACATCAATATATATATATATAAATAAGTTAAACTATGAATGTATGAAAGGTTTGCAAAAACCAAATAAATTTCTCACAGTAATTTATCTTGAAAGGGTGCTTGGCAGAGAGAGGGAAAAGAAAGAAAGAGAAAGAGATTATATGAGAGATGGAGAGGGAGTGACAAAGCTTATAGAGGGGTGGGAAGGGTGGAGAGAGGGGGGCCTATTCAATTAAGTCAATCGTGTTTGATTTAATTCATTGTTTAAAACGTGTAGTGGTATGTATATATGTGTGCACTATATCAAAAAATGTTTTGGTATTTAACTCGGAAGACTCATTACCAAACCGTAATACTTCCAAATTGATTATAGTATAAGGTCTTAGTTTATTATACATTTCGCTTCTTTCATTTACATATAAAGGACAATAATGTTTTTTTAGTGAAACGCATTTCCACATAGGTTTCCACTCACGCATTCCACACTTTCAACAATATTAACTCTAAATAAATCATTGTGTAATGCACTACAAGTATGTCTTAGCTTTGTATGTGGTATATGTATGTATCTCGTTCCTTGGATAGAATAGGTAGGGTAGAATGCTCGTCCTTTTTATATATTGTTAATGACGAGTCATTTGTTATCTTTAAATTTGGGAACAATGGTGAATCATATTTTAGCGTAAACAACAAGATCGCAATTCGAACTTACAGTCGATAGAAACAGTTTATGATTTAAACAAATAGTTACACGGAAAATATTAAAAATGTTAAGGAGAAGAAGACCGAATGTTTCCGGGTGAAATAATGAGCAAGCTCTTAAATACTTTATCCATTACAACACTAAAACACCACAGTTTGAGGAAACACAGATGTTAAAAGAAAGGGGACGTTAGCAATTGCAAAATCGCAATAGTCACGTGTATCGCACAGCTTAGCAGTAATCCGGCTCTGTTCGTGTTACTGTAGGTTAAGATCGAGGTAGAAGACTGATATTGAGGCCTGGGTGCAGTTTGACGATTTATTACGAGCTTATGACAAAATGTGTTTTGAAAACAACTTCATAATTATATTCATTAAACAGAAAGAAGTGTGGAAATATCTCAATATAATGTTCTTTGTTTGTAAGATACTCCAATGGTTAACCTTTGGTGAACATGACGACCATCCTGATAGTGTTAGTTAGGCTTGTCTAGCTTATTTTCATCTGAATTAATTAATTTTTTCTACTTTTAGGGGCTACAGAGGAAGTAATCCAAAGTTAACAAGTAACCGATTGTCACACCGACTGACTTTTCGCTGGCTACTGTTGTAACTGAAATAAATAAATGTTAATAAAGCCATTCACTGAGAGTTTCAACTATTCTAGTTTATCACTCGTCATTGTTAACTCATGAATACCACTCCAAGACATAAATACCACTCCAAGACATCAATACCACTCCAAGCCATGAATACAATGTACCACCTCAAGACATGAATACAACTCCAAGACATAAATACCACTCCAAGACATGAATACCACTCCAAGACATCAATACCACTCCAAGACATCAATACCACTTCAAGACATGAATACCACTCTAAGACATGAATACCACTCTAAGACATCAATACCACTTCAAGACATGAATACCACACCAAGACATCAATACCACCTCAAGACATCAATACCACACCAAGACATAAATACCACACCAAGACATAAATACCACACCAAGACATAAATACCACACCAAGACATCAATACCACCTCAAGACATGAATACTACCCCAAGACATGAATACCAATCCAAGACATCAATACCCCTCCAAGCCATGAATACAATGTACCACCTCAAGACATGAATACAACTCCAAGACACCAATACAACTCCACGACATGAATACCACCTCAAGACATGAATACCACCTCAAGACATGAATACCACTCCAAGACATGAATACAACTCCAAGACATCAATACCACTTCAAGACATGAATACCACCTCAAGACATCAATACCACCTCAAGACATGAATACAACTCCAAGATATGAATACAACTCCAAGACATGAACTTTGTATTGTTTCACTATCAAAGACGATAAGACTTGTTCATATGTACCGGAGGTGTATAGAGAATTCCTCCCGAGTATTGTTCTCTCATATCAATCATTAAAAACCAAGTACTTCACCTCTCAATGCCCACAGACGGTCGCCATCTTCCAGTTTTAATTACTTTCTCCTTGGTTTAAAAACCAAAATAGCAGTAGAAATGAATTTTGCCATACCCTGAAAACGCAACGTCGCTGCACGCATAAAAACAGCACATTTCCATGATACCTCTATGGTTTAGTTGTTATTCAACTTTCTATTTTCCATACGGTATTTTATTAGCGCCATCTGTGAACCTTATCGCTACTTACTGTACATCTCATTAAGTGTGCGCGCAGAGAAATATAGTTCCTAGTTGAAAACAAATTATGTTTTTGTTGTCAAATATTTAATTCATGACTGATCATGTAATAAATGTATATAAATGCAGAGCCGGGCGAATATTACATGTCCACCGACATTTTTGTATTACTACGCGATGTGATTAGCCCATGTTAGATAGACTTAGCCAGCATGATTATCTTGTATGGCCAGCGTTATCTTGCATGACCGGATATGAGAGAAATTGTTTTGTGTGGTATGTATCATAAATTTTTATACATATAAATCAGTCAAATCATTACAGATTACCAATATAATCCTCATTTAGCGGTCATCATACACTATACCAAATCAGATAAGAGACGGCAGTTATTAATTTACAGAAGTATAAACAAGATATCATTGAAATAACCAAAATTTTTAAGGCCATCATAAATATTTCAAACACAAAACACAAAAACATTTTCCAAAGTGTTCCGATTGTTGTTACTGTGACGAATTCGGTGTTGGTCCATCTGTTCTGGAATTTCGGTTGATCCTACACAGTGTTTTGTTTTATATTGCTCGCCCATGAAAAAAGTTAGCCTTATCTGTCAACGTTGAGAAAATACACTTAAAACCTCGATCAGTAAAAAGTACAAAAAATGTTAAAAAACGGAAATGTATATGGGTCATCAAAATTCAAGTATCACAGAACGACACCAGGGTAAACAAAACATTTTACATAGGCGGGTGCGCCATCCAATAATGCTTAATTCGCGAACAAAAGTTTTAATCATGAAAACAAGGGATGATATTACTTGCTCTTGGAAAAGGAGTTTTCCTGTTGTACAAGTACATGTACCGTTAAAATTTTGTTCATTCTGGCTACTGTTTATTTGATGTTGTTTCTCGCGGATGTCAGCATATAATAATGGAAAATGACAAGGTCTTTAATTTATGTACCTTAGTTCTTTTACAATTGAATTTTTGTAATGGTTTTAACGTAACATAGTACAATGAAAGGCTGTTTCAGTCCAATTGTGAGTGGTCAGACACTACTAGCGTTATCATTATATATCGTTGACGTTATCCTCTTTATACATAAAACATATCTCATTTCATCTCTTCCAGTGGTCTGAACAAATCAATCGACGTATTGGCGACATTAATAAGTTAGTGATTAGTTGTTTTGTAGACATCATTGATTCAGAATGATGAATATTCAAAGACAGGCCCACGCCATTGACTGCGGCCTACCGGACAGATCGAACGACCACGTTATCCTGAAACGGTTATAATGCTTACTCTAGGATAAGCTGAATAGAAAGTTAAACTGAAAAGGGCATATACATTTGGTTTATTGGAACTTTTAGCCTTGATGATTATTTGTTGAGTTGAAACTTGATTACATTCCCTTTTCCAATTTTTTGTCAATTTAATAAATACATTGAAATTCTCTGTCGGTTGCTTTTTATTTGAGCGTCATCAGACATGTTTAAGTTTCAAGAACAATTTAACAGGATTTGTAAACGGGATGTTTACGTTATAACATCAGAAGCTAGCTCAACATGTAAATCACTATTGGACAAATTGTGTACTGTTATTACTATGGTAGGTACAGTAGTTCATCCGACCCAGGTGCTCATACCAAATACAAGTAGGGTCTTATCGTCACACTAACAGAAAACGAAAAAGCCTAATCGGATAAATGACAATTTGCTGTTACTTAGAAATACATTCTGTACTATCGAGATGTAGCAATATCCTCATGTAGGATTTTTTTTTTCATCATTTCATTGATTTTTTTTTCAAACAAAGCATATACATAACTAAGAGTACCCAAACATAACTTTGATGTTGTACGTTAAACGCCGCACCATATGATTCCTTAGGGACTTACACGTGGTAGCTCCTGGTTAAAGAACGAAAACAACGCCAACACAGTTTCACAATATATTTAAAGATACTACAATTGGGAAAAGTATCTAATAAACCTTGTATAACGTGACAAACGTTTTGCTACATCAGATATTTTTAACTGAATCCAGTCTCATTTCAAGCTACATTGTACATGGTGAAGTTGTGATAGTGAATCATCAGATGAGCCTCCTTATTACGCAAAATCATACTAGAAATCAGAACAAATAAAACACCTTTCTAAACATTCAGTTGCCAATGCCGAAAGCTAAAAAAAAAAAAGTAAAATAAATACGTATCTATTAATTTAAGACTATTTTTAAAAAGTTACAAAGTTTCATGAACAACTTTCTTTAAGCGAAGTCCTGCGTACATAAACCGCTCATTCCTAATCTGTAAGTTTTCAAACATCATGCGGGTTCGGTGTGAATCTGTACATGGTACTTAACAGCATTAAATATATGGATACTGATTCTCACGGGTACGAGATGATGAAGTAAACTGTAAATTAGCATATCAACATAACCCCTACATGTATGTATGCCCTATACTGATCTTAATCAAAACACTTACGATATCTTTAAAGATTGATATTTTTGTTAACGTCAGGTACCTGTGAGGGTTACAATGTAATATAAATATCCTCCGGTATCAAGATCGTGTCTGAGGAATGGGTGAAATGTGTCTCTGTCAATCGCGGACTGACAGATGTATGGCGTGACAGACACTTACAGAATACACATAAAGCGGAAAAGTAAAGTCAATATGAAAAAACATATCGATGTAACATTTCATAGTCATACACAAGAGGGGCGAAATGTGGTTCTCATAATTCCTCCCGATAACATGGTTATGGGTTTGTGTACTATTTTAGGTATACTTATCAGTGCCTGCTTCTTTTTTTTTATCGAGCCTTCATTTTGGCCCTGCGTATAAAACTGTGGTATCTTCTGTGTGTCATAATTTTGTCCGTGTCGTAAAGGGTATGGTATCGACAATGCGCTATGATTTTGTGCCTTTGTGCAATAATAACGACTGCGAGTCAGAATTTTGTCATTCTTAAAAACGTTGAAGCATCGTCTATACGTTATACATTTGTCCTGTATAAAGCTGGGATATCGAATATGCATAACGATTTGGTTCATTTCTCTGTTTAACATTGTGATATCAACTGTTAGAGGGATTTTCAATCGTGTATATAACTGTGCGTTAGAACGTATCGCCTTGATTCAATTTTACTTAACAGCCTGTCAGAAAAAGATCAAATTCCAACGGGCATTTATTTGGATTGTATTAGAGAAAGGAAAAGTGAATATACCACTACCTGATACACGACTTATACAGACCGAAATGCTACATGAGAATATATGTAATCTTGTAAGCTCATTTCACCAAAATCGGCGTATCACTTTGTTTATATTATATTATGAGAACACGAATTGGAGCAATCCCTGTGCAGACGCAGAAGTATATGTCCGATGAATGTAGGGCCATCTTCATGATTTGTATTGGATCAATTAAGTCTTATTGGAGATTCTAATTGGATCAATCAGACCAACAATTCAATCAAAAGACACTAAAGCAACAGGAATCAAAGAGAAATCTAAACAACAGGAATCAAAGAAACAATTAAAAAAACAGGGACCCGATGATATGTTAAAACAACAGTAACCAAGGAGACACCAAAACAACAGGAATAATAGAGACATAATAACAACTGGAATCAAAGAGACATTAAAACAACAGGAATCAAAGACACAATTAAAAAAACAGGGACCCGATGATATGTTAAAACAACAGTAACCAAGGAGACACCAAAACAACAGGAATAATAGAGACATAATAACAACAGGAATCAAAGAGACATCAAAACAACAGATAAAAGTGACACCAAAACAACAGGAACCAAGAGATACCAAAACAACAGGATTCAAAGAGACATCAAAACAACAGGAATCAAAGAGACACCAAAACAACAGGAATCAAAGAGACATCAAAACAACAGGAATCAAAGAAGCAATACAAAGAGATATGGAGAAGCACTT